ATTTATACTTAAAAGTTTTTTTGGAGTTAATTTTTTTGCTCTAGAAATGTGTGGAAGAGATTCATGAGAAGCTCATACATACACATTTTGCTATTACTGTGATAAAAATAGTCTATTTTAAAGTCAATCTACCACTTTGGCTACTTTATACTGCAGATATATATTGGGCACTTCTTATGTGTTAAGTATTGGGGCACAATAAAAAATACAACCGTTGTAAAGATAATTTTAGATTTTACTAGGATATCCAGACTTTGCAATTTGTGTTTGTTATCAGTTATGTCTCTTATGACCTTTGACTCAATCCATTTTTTTTATATGCTTCTTAATTCTGGACATGAAAACCTAAGAAATGTCAGATGATGTTTTATTCTACCAATAGCCCACCTTATTTATAAAAGGGTTTTAGAAGGCCCAAAGTTCAGATTTTTAACGCTAACATCCAGATAAAATATTAAGAAGAGAAAGAAGTATGTCACATACAAGTACTTGTTTTTGTGTGTGCGTTTGAATATCACATCATTCACCTTTAAAACTTCTATGTATCTTTTTTGAATATTTTATTTTGTTTAAAATATATGTAGCCATCTTGCCTCAATAGACTGATGACTACGTACTCTTTTCTTTAATTCACAGGAACAAAATTACACAAATCCCATAATTTTTCATGAGACTAGACATGTACAAATGTTTCTTTTGACAAAAAATAGGCTTCTGCTCTATCCTACGGAAAATAGAAACATTGGCCCACAGAAAAGAGTACATTTTGCTTTAGAAAGAAATGAAGTTATCAAACCTGAAATTAATAATCAATTTATTACTTCTACCGAACCTAAAAAAGTCATGCCTACAGCATGGAGGAAGCGTATGCAGGCAGTATCTTTTGCAGTGTGCCGCAGAGTTGTGGAAGACAAGCTAAAGAAGAAAACCACTATGCAAACATCCAAAAACATATCTGAGAAATCCTATCATTTCTCAGAGCCTCTTTCCAGCCTAACAGAAAAGTGTGTAGATTTCTTTGGTAAAACTGTCATTCAAGAAACAAGTGCTAAAATTGGCAAATTTGAAAGAATGTTGTTCACAGTAACACCAACGGGCAAATTCAGTGCTTCACCTGTCAAATGTTGCTCAAAGCCTTTAAAACACGTAATCCAAGTCCACAAATTACCGACTGTAACGCCACTGGATAATTTGTTAACCTTTTCAAGTGAAAATTAAATGCCTCATAAAATATTGTTTACCGTAATACTTGGGTAACAAGAAGCAAAGAACAAAGTTTCAAGATCATAGAAGAAATTCTTGTTGAAATAGTAATGTTCTAATGGATGGCATAAGAAAGCAAAAGATAAAAATTGGAGTTATAAATCAATAGACCTCTGTTTAAGAAAAATCAATGTTTTTACAAGAAAAAAAGAACAAAATTAGGAAATAAGTATCAACAAGGGGAATTAGTTCATGAATTTCTATTACCCTAATTTGGTCCTCAATCACCAGCATTCCTACAGTAAAATTTGATTTGGACCAAGAATGTCAGACTGATTCTGGAAATTCACTATTAGAAGCCAAATAACATGGATAAATTTGCTCTATAATTGAATAAAAAATAAAATAAATGTACTATTAACTTGATGTATTTGGAATTAATCATATCAGCATTATAGATGATCATTGAAAAATATTTTACATTAGCAATTTGTGCAATTATAAAGGCTTTGTAAATTTTCAGATAGTTTTTTGTTAGTAAATGTTAGAACTTCATTACTATAAAATGCCTTTTTCAAGTATAACTTTGACTTTTTTCTCAATTGTTAAACAATTTAAAAGGACAACTTATCCTTCATAAGCTAAATAATATTGGTAGCAAATCCTATAAAGTATTGAACATTTTAAGTATAGTATTTAACTTCTCGTTAACCCGGACAGGAAAAAGCAGAACTCAACTTAGAAACAAGTTGCATTTCAAAATTCACTTATAAATCCATTTGTTAGGGGATTAAACATTTTTTTTTTATGATTTCAGAGAGGAAAGGAGAGAGATAGAAACATCAATGATGAGAGGGAATCATTGATTGGCTGCCTCCTCTATGCCCCACACTGAGGATGGAGTCCACAACTGAGGCATGCTCCCTGACTGGGAATCAAACCATGACCTCCTGGTTCATAGGTCAATGTTAAACCACTGAGCCACGCACTCCAGCCAGGCATTTCTTGGAAGATTAAAAAAAAAAAAATCTTAACTGTTAGTACTTGAGGAGAATTGCGTTTAATTAGAAGCATTTCAGTAAGGGGAAGGCTTTGGGGGTCTTTTGAGAACTTCCAAGGGTGAGGAGATAAAGTTGTTCAGGTTCCTGTTTCCACCTCAGACTGGAGGTTGTCCTTATTGTGCGTCAGCAATGCTACTCCTGGGTGTCTCTTCACAAGTAGCAGCAACTTGGGCTCTCCGATAGAATGACCAGAAGAGAAAATGGAGATGGGAGGGGGTGAGAGGGGTATAACTGGAGACTGAATGAAGGAAGAGCAAAAGAAAGGGTTTCAATATAGGGTGGTGGGCTCAGGGACGTGGGAGGTAGCGGGGGAGCATACAAGCTTTCCTGGCTGTTTGCCTTTACTAGTATTCCAGTTACTGGCCAGGGAGAAGCAGCAGCCACAGTTCAAAGTCATGAAGTCATCTTGCTCTTTGCCCAACAAACAGGGATTGACCCTCTTGTTCTCTTTACTTTCTCTGGTCTATTCTCCCTGTATCCCAACCCCACCCCTCTTTTCCCTCCTCCCAGGCTCACTACAAAGCAAAACAGTTTCCCTAACTACCCTGCTGGCTCAGAAAATAAAACACAATTTTTTTTTAAATTACTAACAATAAAAATAAAAATAAATAGAAAATATACCTAATAATACACAGTAATGATGGTTGTTTTTTGTTTGTCTGTTTGTTTTCTGATATTCAGTATCAGATAAACAACTGTGCACCTTGGGTTCGGGCAGATGTGAATGAACTTGGGTAAACAAAGTAAACTATCTGAGCCTCACTTTACTGTATCCCCTCCTTAAGATGGGATAGCCATGTCTTATTACAGTGTTATTTTCAGGATTAAAAAATAATGTGAAGTACCTTGGGTATGGTAAACATTCATTAAAAATTCCTTTCCTATTCCTACCCTTTCCCCTACTCTTCATGTAAATATAACATCTTAAAAGAAGTTCCTCCAAGTCTCTTAATTCAATCTTTTCTAAAATCTAATTACAGTTTTTAGACTATTGTCTAAAGTAGACTCAAATGAAAGCTGAGGATTTTTGTATTAGTTATTTTTGGTGGTATCTGCTTGAGTTGGTGAGCTTTACCCTTTAGGAAGGCACTCAGTCAACTTAAAAATTCCATTTTGCTGAGGATTCTCCATTAAAACAGCTGGACAGTTGGGAGCAGTGGATTCTGGGAAGAGGGTGACCTAAACTCAACACCTTTCTTTTCTTCTCTCAACTTAAGCCTGCCATCTCCTAAACCAAACAGCTGCTGGAATCGTTAAGCAGTGGGTTGCAAGGTTAGACATGGTTTCCATTCTGATGCTGAAATCTGGGTATGGTTTTTGGAGACCAGTCTCTGAGTCACAAGGCAATAATGGGGGCTGTGTTATATCCTGGGACTAGCTGTCCAGTTGGGCTCTGTAGAAATAAAAATCCTATCTAATAAAAGAGAAACATGGTAATTAGCGTACGACCGCTACCCTTCCCATTGGCTAATCAGGGCAATATGCAAATTAACTGCCAGCCAAGATGGTGGCTGGCAGCCAGGTAGCTTGAAACTAACATGACGCTTGTTTGCTTCAGTGACGGAGGAAACCAATGTTCCCCACCTGCCTTGCCGGCCTCCGAGCCTGCCGTTTGAAACATTGTAACAAATATAGAAGCTAAACAAAACCCCAGAAGCCTGCTTTCAGCGAGCCGGGATCTCAGAGCTGGAGTTATACATTGTTTCGATTATAGAACCGAAACAAACCAGATACCTGCTTTCAGCAGCAGAGGCCTAAGAGCTGGAGCCTCAGAGCTAAAGCTGGCCCAGAATTTAAAAAAAAAGAAAAAAAGGAGCGGTTGGGAGCTTCCGTCACCCGCCAGCCTGAAAACAGCCCTCAGCCCTTCACCCAGACTTGTCAGGCACCCCAGTGGGGACCCCCACCCTGAAGGGTGTGTGACCAACTGCAAACAGCCATCATCCCCTCACCCAGGCTGGCCAGGCACCCCAGTGGGGACCCCCACCCTGATCCAGGACACCCTTCAGGGCAAACCAGCCAGCCCCACCCATACACCAGGCCTCTATCCTATATAGTAAAAGGGTAATATGCCTCCTAGCACCGGGATCAGTGGAGCAGCGAGGCCTCCCAGCATGGCTGTTTTCAGGCTGATCACACCCCCTTTAGGGTGGGGGACCCCACTGGGGTGCCTGGCCATCCTGGGTGAGAGGCTGATGGCTGTTTTCAGGCTGGCCAAGCCCCGCTGGCGACAGAAGCTCCCAGCCTCTCCTTTTTTTCTTTTTCCTTTTTTTTTTTTTATTCTGGGATTTATTTACCTTCTATAATTGAAACTTTGTTGCCTGAGTAGAGCCCCACGGGCAGGCAGGAAGCTTGGATTCCTGCTCGCTCCAGCTCCGTGGCCACAGCCAGCTGAAAGCAGGTATCTAGGGTTTATTTACCTTCTATAATTGAAACTTTGTTGCTTTGAGTGGAGCTCAGAGCCAGCTGTGGCAGCTTGGCTTCCTCCATCATTGGGGCAACCAAGCCTCTGGCTTGCTCCAGCTCCATGGCTGCCGGCCGTCATCTTGGTTGGGTTAATTTGCATATAGTTGCTCTGATTGGCTGGTGGGCATGGCTTAAGGCATAGTGAAGGTACAGTCAATTTGCATGTTTGTCTTTTATTAGTGTAGAAGATAGATAATATTCCATTGTATATATGTACCACAGCTTTTTTCTTATAAGATAAAGTTTATTTAGAATGTTACAGAGATAGTAGAAGTGAGCCAGCTGGGCTGTGTAGGCTCAGGAAACAAATTACAGAAGCAAAAGAAGGGCCCTTAAAGTTTAGGTAATGCACTACTGGGGGGGCGGGGGGAGGACGGGGGAGATGGTGGATGCAGGCATACTCTGAGAGAGGAGAGAGGGAAAGAGCTGGACCACAATTTTTTTTTTATTCACTTGTCTATTGATGGGCCCTTTGGTTGCTTCCATAGTTTGGCTATTGTAAATAATGCTGCAATGAACATAGGGGTGCATTTTTCTTTTGGATTTGTGTTTTGGGTTTCTTCAGATAAATCCCCAGAAGTGGAATTACTGGGTCATAAGGCAGCTTCATTTTTAATCTTTTGCAGAAACAAAAGTGGCTGCAGCAATCTGAATTCCCACCAACAGTGCACTAGGATTTCCTTTTCTTCACATCCTCACAAACAGTTGGCATTTGTGGATTTACTGAAAAAATCCTAGAAGGAAACATAGGCAGTAGAATCTTGGACAGTTCCCTTAGCAATACTTTTTTTCAGATATATCTCTTCAGGCAAGGGAAACAAAAGAAAAATAAACAGATGGGATTACAACAAACTAGAAAAGTTTTGCACAGCAAAGGAAACCATCATAAAAACAGACAACCTACTAAATGAAGGAACATTTTTGCCAATGATATATCTGATATGGGGTTAATATCCAAAATTTATTTTTAAAAATCTCATACTACTCAACAGCATGAAAAAAAAACCAATCCAATTTAAAAATGGGCAGAGATTTTATAATTGAATTTATTGGGGTGACATTAATAAAATTGTATAGGTTTCAGGTGTACTATAGTCATCTATAGTATTGTGTGTTCACTACCCCAGGTCAAGTCTCCTTCCATCACCATTTATCCCCCCTTTTACCTTTCCGTATCCCCCTTTCCCTCTGGTCTGTGTCTTTTAGGTTTTTTTTCCTGTGCTTAATCTTTTCACCTTTTTCACCTAATCCCCAAGCCCCCCTCCTCTCTGACAGCTGTCAGTGTGTTTTCTGTATCTATGAGTCCATTTCTATTTTGTTTGCAGATCTGAATAGACACTTCTTCAAAGAGGCTATACAGATGGCCCATAGACATATAAAAAGATGATCAATGTCACTGATTGTCAAAGAAATGCAAATTAAAATCGCAATGAGATATTACTTCACACCTGTCAGAATGGCTGTTGGATAATTTTTGAAAACATTTCTCCTTTTCCTGGAAGCCATTCAGATATTTCAAGACATCAGAGATCTCTCATTTTTTCTCTAGGAGTCAGGTTTCGAGGATTAGGCACAGGTGTGGTATGAGCAGAAAGGTATTCTATTTCAGTGCCTAAAGGGAAAATCAAAACTAGTCATTATTAAAGCTGAGGGGATATTATTAAATGTAAAATCCTATTTACCACTGATTTCACTCTAAAGAAAACCTTCATTCTATGTGTTCTCTGCCCAGAAAAGAATAAGACACTGCCTTGACAGCTATAGTAGTGGGATGGCAACAAGAGTCAAAGAGCAGAGCAGAGCAGTAGTCACAACGTAGATTCCAAAATGGCATTTAGTTTGTCGACATGTCTAATTTATTTAGTCAATAGTCAATTTGATCCAAACCCAAGTGTAGACTTCTATGTGAACCAGAAACTAAATATGGGCTCTCTGTTTCAGATATGAACTACACGTGTTTGGTGGCAATAATTGATAACTAATGCTTCTAAAGACAATTCTATTTCATTCTTTTGCCTTATATTTTTTTCTCCCAATGTCCTTACTATCTTGCTCTTTTTCTTTTTTCTTTCTTTGATTTGCTTAGGACTTCAGAGTTAAAAAGGATCTTGAAAATCATCTAGGCCAGAGCTGTCGAGTAGAATGCTCTGCAGTGATGGAAATGTTTTTATATTTGTGTTGTTCAATATAGTAACTGCTAGCCACATGTGGCCATGGAACTCATAAACTGTTTTTAGGGTAGGGTTTCTCAGATTCAGCAGTATTGACATTTTGGGCTGGATAATTCTTTATTGTCAACAATGCTAGTAGGTCCATGCACAGTCATTCTATTTAACTTCATCCTTATCCTCTCAGCTCTTAGCAATCTGATTTAACTCCTGTTCACATTCCTTCACACATTCCATGGTGGCTGTTCCAAACTCTCCCACTGTGCTCAAATTCATGACTACACCCTGCCCACCAGTTCCAAGAATAGGGGGAAAGCAAAACTAGTCGCAGCTGTAATATGAGATTACTTCCTCAAGTAATCCTGGCATTTATGTAAAATTTCTAGTTCCCATCCAGGTAACAATACTGATCATTTCTGAATTTCTCCATGCTGTGTGAAAGTCAAAGTGGGGTTACCTGTCTCTTTGGATCTAATAGAGGGAGTTCAGTGTGGTGAAAAGAAGATTGGATGGAGATATAAGAGGTCAGGGTTCTCCAATCAGTTATAATAATAATAATATATATGGCCCTCGCTGGTTTGGCTCAGTGGATGGAGTGTCAGCCTGTAGATTGAAGGGTCCCGGGTTCGACTTTGGTAAAGGGCACATGCCAGGGTTGCAGGCTCGATCCCCAGTGTGGGGTGTATAGAAGGCAGCCAACCAATGATTCTCTCTCATCATTGATGTTTCTATCTCTCCCTCTCCTTTATTCTCTCTGTAATCAATAAAAATGTTTAAAAATAATAATAATAACATATATGGTTGATTCAGAGATTTTCAACCTGGCCAGCCTCAGATTCCCCATCTGCACATCATAAAAAATTTGTAATGATTTTTTTCTCAAGATTTTAGATGATCTTTCCAGGTGTAGATCTTTAAGGTTCTATGTTCTTCTTCTTTACTGTTCAACTTTTAAGCAAAACAATGTTTGAGTACCAGCTGTGTGCCATCATTGTGCTAGAGCAGTGATGGCGAATCTATGACACACGTGTCAGAGGTGACACGCAAACTCATTTTTTTGGTTGATTTTTCTTTGTTAAATGGCATTTAGATATACAAAATAAACATCAAAAATATAAATCTTTGTTTTACTATGGTTGCAAATATAAAAAAAACTTCTATATGTGACACGGCACCAGAGTTAAGTTACGGTTTTTCAAAATGCTGACACGCCGAGCTCAAAAGGTTCGCCATCACTGCGCTAGATGCTGGTAATGTAACAGTGACTAGAAGAGACTTGGTGTATGCCCTCATTTATTTTGATGGAGAAGCTGACTACCTGTCCAATGCTCCATCCTGGGAAAGCTCAGCTTTAGGGAGAACAATCCACCTAAGCAGTAGGGTTGCATTACTCTATTCTTAGGCTAACCCACAGGGTACCAAGCGGGTGAGCCTCCTCCCAGTTTATGATTTCTCACGTGTAGCTATGTTGACTGCTTAGTAGAACCAGGGATTATATGAAAAAGATTTAATAATGAGCACCGTACAGGCATTGGCCAACCAAACTTATAACTGAAGCAGGACGTCACTCCAGGACTTACTCTTTTGGTTGCTGGTTTGTGGGGATTCCAGAGGAGGGGCTAGGGACCATGGTAGTAGGTTGAGTCTCAGAGGATCTAGGGATATTACTTTTTACTAACATTTGTAGAAATATTCTTATATTCTAACTATAGAGTGGCCTTACCGGTGTGTTGCTACTGAATATCAACCGTAGGTAGAATGGATGAGGCAATATGGACATACAGCTAAGTCAATTTATCAACAATGCTGGTCTTTCCAGAGTCATCAAGTGAAGCCTGCAGTACCCCAACATTTTAAAAATGCCCGCGTGGATGTGTACATGTACACAAACCCTCCATCTTAACTTGATTTTCCTCTTTTGACTCTACCAAAGTTTCCATCCAGAACCCCCCTCTCCTGGGCCATCTCCTAGTTCTGCCAACCTCAGAGTCTAAATAGGCCCATCGCCTCCTTATATTGAAATGTTATCTTAATGTGTGGAATGTTTAGGATCCTAGACTACCTCATTTGGCCCAATGCATTGTCCTTCCTTGGAAATAACTCTTAATAATGCTTATTTTCTTCCAAGTGTGAGGAAGACATATTATGCTTTTATAATCCAAATTACGGGGGGGAAAACCACCCTACTTTCTCTTTCTTCCTTTCATTCTCTCTTTTTAACATATGTGTATTATATGGCACTGTTCTTGGTACCAAGAATATAATTGTGAAAAAAAAATAAAAGTCCTCCACTCTTAGGGACATGAACCATAAAGCTAATCACATTTAAGCTTCATGACCCTCACTCATATGAAGTTTTTGTAAGGCCTCAAGAAGGGCCTGAGAAAATGTTTACCTACTTTAGGTATTTTATACATTTTATAAAATTTGCAGATGTGAGATATTTTAGCTGCTGTTGGTTAAGAATGCCGTCTCTTTGCACTCTAATTTTTCCACTATCATACTTCCCCTCATATCAGATAACATTTGAGGTGCAGAAGGTATTTTGGAACTCCTTCTAAGAGAAATTGAGTTCTGGATATATCTAGCCTGGGTTTAGTAGGATGTATATAGATGGTATGCAGTCACTTCTACATAAAGTTATTTAGTTGCTATAATGTATGCATGGCACACAAGAAAACTCCAACTGTCTACTGTGCTACTTTATCATGTGACACAAAGTTACAGGTGTGTCCTATATTGGTCAGTTCCAAAAGTTTGTGGCTAGATGGAAGAAGATCTGAAACAGAGTCTGAAGCTGTATCTGAAACCTTTATCCAGTAATCAGACAAATACAATTATTAGCAGAGAACTGGGTCTCACCAATACTTAGTCTCTCAACCAATGTCACCCCAATAAATTCAATAAAAATTGTTTCTCATTTGCAAATAATAATGTAACGTATACTGTTATATATGAACTATGCATTTTTCTGTTTAGATAAACATGCAAAATAGAACTTAACAGAATTTATGTGTTTGTAGGGCACATTTGTAGCAGTACTACAGTGAGTTTTTTGGGTGTGAGGATGCATGTTTCACAAATCCCACTTGTTAGTAATAAAATCAAACTGGTTAAACCATGCTAAAAGAAAGACTGAGCTATTTTTCTATTATCTCTATCAAAAATATGTTATAAACCACGTGGCAATGGGCAAGGAGTCACCTGACCGGTGGTGCTCTTATATCATCAGGGGCATAGCAGAAGTACAGTCCTTAGTTCATCATAGCTTGATGCCTATGTTGGTGGCCAGAACTGTTTCATGCCTGGGATACCTAAAAAAAATCCCAAACACAGAGACACATATGTAAAATTAGTGTCACATACAGAAGCAGTAAAAATATGCAGCTAAAAATATAGAACAATTATAGAGCTGTGGTAGACATGTGATAAAAATATATTAATTTTCTATTTATCAGATTTAACATTTTTGTTAGTTCTGATTTATTTTCTTACATTAAGTACATATCAATTTTTGTGCCTCTTTTTCCATTCTGAATTTTGCATTTTTTAAAGAGAGTTCACTAAAGTTTCATAAAACTTGGATCCACTCTTGCTCATGGAGCTAATATAGAAGAGGAGTTATCAGCAAAGCAGAATGAGAAGGGGCATCCAGAGAACCAGGAGAGGTTCGAGAGAGTGTAACCTCCCAGGACTCAGGGGAAGAGAGTGCAGCTAAAGGAAGGGAGAGGATCGGCAGTGCAAATGTTGTAGCGTGGTCAAGCAAGGGAAGGACTGAGAGTGTCTTCTGGGTTAATTTCCATGGAGGTCACTGGTGACTTAGGCCTGAGCAGCTTCAGTGCAGTGGAGGGGATAAACCTAGTTCAGTGTGGGATGAAAAGTTATTGAGATGGTTACCAAGAGGGAAGAGCCATGGTGAATAGGTGGATAGTAAGGTCAGTTCACTGAGATAGAATATTCAAAGCATCTGACTTAGGATGCAGTTCAATTGTATGTGAAATGTCTTTCTATTTTCAAAATGCCTAATTTGATGTCTGGTATGGTAGTTTTGTGAAGGAGTCATGATTGACTGACTTCCATAGATTGCTGCTTCTATATCCTGGTTATTCTTCTTCATAGGGTTGATAAATATTAAAGTTGGTAATTGAAAGAGGTAATGACATTGCAAGAACATCTTTTAAAAGAAAGTATGTCCACCTTCCCCAAATGAGGCAGGATTGTCAGTAGAGGAACACAGACCCGGGCTAAAGCTATAAAGTCACTTAGAGCTCTGGGACTCAGGTTATGCCGAATACTCCCTCTTGGCGCTTGTTTTCCTGTTTCACCACACCTACTTCCTTATATAGGTAAGGAAGAAATGAGATGAATTTCGGTTGTAGCACATTGCCAGATTCACCATCCGTGGTCAATAAGTTCATTCCTTCCAGCCCAACACAGAGAAGTATGAGGCACTGCAGAGAAACTCCATGCTCTTTTCATGTTTTTTGCTTTCCAGAATTTTAAAAGCATTGTTCAAGTAGAAAACACAGATGATCTTTGTTCCCTGGCTAAAATGTAATCAGTGGTGAAACACAGCAGGGCACTGGGTATGACCTGGCAGTGAAACAGAAACTGGTGAATTGAGGTGAACACAAAAAAGGCCTACATTAATTCCAGTATAAGAAGAGCAAGTGAGCCAAGGGAACGTGAGAAGTAGAGGGAAAAGAAATAATATGATTCATGTTAACAAATAGTGAACAGAATCAATTTCTCTCGTGGAGAAGCATGATGGCTAAAGCAAGGTTTTGATAAAAAGACATGATTTAATTACAAAGATGATTTTTCTGCTAGTAATTCCGCCTGGCAAGTTATATAATATATATTGACATTTCCAAATAGATTGTGTATCAATGAGAACATTTAAATCCAGTCTTTACCATTTTATACAACTTTTAAAGATATGGTTCAACCTTTATTCAATTTTATCAAATTACCAGAGGCCCAGTGCATGAAATTCATGCACTGGGGCAAGGGGGGGGGGGAGGGTCCCTCAGTCTGGCCTGCTCCCTCTCACAGTCCAGGAGCCCTCAGGAGATGTCTAACTGATGGCTTAGTGGGACACCTTTAGCGCTGCCGTGGAGGGGGAAGAGGCTCCCGCCACTGCCGCTGCGCTCGCCAGCCGTGAGCCGGGCTTCTGGCTGAGCGGCACTCCCCCTGTGGGAGCGCACTGACCACCCGGGAGCAGCTCCTGTGTTGAGTGTCTGCCCCCTGGTGGCCATTGAGTGTCATATCAACTGGCTGTTCCGCCATTCTGTCGATTTTCATATTAGCCTTTTATTATATAGGATGTGTAAACTCCCCACATATAATTTTGTGATTAATATTACTGAGGTTAAAAAACAGGTCCAAGTACCTAAAATACCTCAAAGTACCCTAAAATCAAAATACCTACAATAAACACTCTATTAGGGTATGAGCACCTATCTTGTCTTTATGGGTACCTATTAAGAATGCTTGACTCCCTCAGATGTAACAGCATTTTACTGAAGGTCCACAAATCATTACTGGTGTTGAGAAAATGCAACACAGTTCTTGGCCTGTCTATGGTAGATCTTAAATATTTGTTAACCAATAATGTAATCATGCTGAGAAAACAGTAGTTGCTTGTATCAGTACTTCTAGGAGATTTATTTTTATTTCATTTTGTGTAACTGCAATTAATTTATCACAGTTACCATATCATACTCCACAGGGCAGCACTTGAACTGGCCTCTTTTAGTGATGTCCATTGTTGCCATATGACTATAAAAGAAGGTTTTATTTTCATAGTGTTAGTGGGAATATAAAAGTAGTATAACCTCTTTAGAGACCAATTTGTTAAGTCTATTAATAAAACAAAATATGGCCTTTAATTAAGCAATTCCACTTCTAGAAACTTATACCTGCACAAGTAGAATAGACAAAGCTGAACAGACAAGGATAGTCCAGGCTATATTGTGTATGAACTGAAAAACTGGCAATAACCTAAATGTTCATAGGGAGGGTTACATGAATTATGATGCAGCTAGCTAGCTGATGGAATTCTCTGCAGCCATTTTTTAAAAAAGAATAATGTAAAATTTCTATATTGCAACAGAAAGGCCTTCAAGGAATATTAAGTGAAAAGAGAAAAGTTGAATGACAATAATAATTAAAATAATAATAATTATTACTAACACTTATAAAGTGTGTACTGTGTTTTAAGTCCTTTACCATTAGTAACACATTTAATGCTCATCACCACCTTGAGGTGCATACTATTGTTATCCCATTTTACAGATGAGGAAACTGAAGCACAGTAATATCAAGTGACTTGCCCAAGGTCGCAAAATTAAGTGTCAGAGGCAGTGTCTGGTTTGAGAATCAGTGTTCTTACCTAGTTCTTTCCATGAATGTTAAGAAATGAAAATACATGTAAGTATTTTTGTGTAGGGATGTGTATGTATATGTGTTCATATATTCACAGAAAATGGCTCTAAGCATAGCCTCTTAACTGCTAGCAATTGCTTTCTCTGAGAGGGGGTTTGGGGTGGGAGAGGAAGAGGAGAAGATACTTACATGATATTTTTTTTTTGCTTGTTTGCTTTTGTTATGAGGGACATTAATCTATACTAATAAAAAGGTAATATGCTAATTAGACCGGATGTCTTCTGGATGTCCTTCCAGACAAAGCCACAGTGGCAGGGGCTGAGGTAGAGGTGATTAGGGGCGATCAGGCCAGCAGGGGAGAGCAGTTAGGGGCGATCAGGCAGGAAGGCAGAGTGGTTAGGGGCAATCAGGCAGGCAGGCAGGTGAGCGGTTAGAAGCCAGCCATCCCAGATTGCGAGAGGGATGTCCGACTCCCTAAACCGGCAGTTAGACATCCCCCGAGGGGTCCTGGATTGGAGAGGGTGCAGGCTGGGCTGAGGGGCCCCCCCAGGGACGAATTTTGTGCACCGGGCCTCCAGTCCTATATAATAAAAGGCTAATATGCAAATTGAGTGGCAGAATGACCGGTTGCTATGATGTGCACTGACCACCAAGATCAGACGCTCAACACAGGAGCTGCCCCCTAGTGGTCAGTGCGCTCCCACGGGGGGAGTGCTGCTCAGCCAGAAGCCGTGGCAGCCATAGCCATCAGTCAGACACCCCCTGAGGGCTCCCGGACTGCGAGGGGGCATAGGCTGGGCTGAGGGATCCCCCCCCCCCAAGAGCACGAATCTCGTGCACCGGGCCTCTAGTATTTTATAATAATTTTTTCACAAGGGATGTTTCTCAAAATGTAACTCTAGTTATTTTCCTTCTGTTGCTAGCAGTTAAAGAAATTTGGCCATTTTTCTCACTGTTAAAAAGTTCTATCATTCATTGGTTCACTTAATAAAAACAAGTAAATTGTCCTAGGTGTCCCTGCCTTTCCCAGTTCTCAAGAAGTTCACTGTCTAGTGGAACAGATTGACATATAAACATGTAATTCCAGAGTCTCTATAAAGGGGACGCACAAAGATGGGGTGGGAGGGGCACAAAGAAAGATGTCAGTTCTGTGGAGAGCAGTGTGAAGAAGGCACCCAGAGAGGAGGTAATGTTTTGCCTAAATACTGAATGAAAAGTAAGAGTTCTCAGGAGACAGGGGTCGGGGAGAGAGAAAAAGCATCCCAAATGGAGGGAATAATGAGAGTAAACACGGAAGTAAAGACACTGGAACCCACCTTGTTCTTTAGGGGAACGGTTGTAGTTTGACTTAGCTGCAGCTTAGCAAGAGAAATATGCGCGGCGTCTGCCTCCGGAGTTGTGGGCAGGAGCCACATTACCTAAGCCCTGTGAGCCATGTCATGAACTTCATTCCATGTACCAGATGTTCATAAGGAACATGAGAAGAATCAGATGTTCCCAGAATAAGTCAAAGATATGGATCAAAAGATGCATACAATGGAAGGACATTCTGACACATGCTACATGTAGATGAACTCGAAAACATGCTAAAAGAAAGGTTAGATACCAAAGGACAAATATTGTTATGATTCCATTTATATGAGGTACCTAGAATAGTCAACTTCTTAGAGACTGAGAGTAGAATAGTGGTTCCTAGAGGATGGGGGCAGTTACTGTTTAGTGGTTACATAATTTCAATTTGAGATGATGAAAATGTGCTGGAGATGGGCTGGAGATGGGTAATGGTGTGAGTTGCACAATAATGTCAGTGTACGTAATGCTACCGAACTGTACACTCAAAAAGTCTTAAAATAATACATTTTATATGATGCGTATTTTACAATTAAAAAACAGGTTAAAATGGTAAATTTATGTTATGCATATTTTTACAATTGAGATATATGGGAAAAAGAGATGAAGATATAGACAAAAATATTTAGGGAAATAATTCTTTTCTTTCCTGACATTAAAATTAGGTGCGCCACTTAAAAACAAACAAAAACATCTTGTATTGATTTTAGAGAGGCAGGGAGAAGGAAAGAGTGATGGAAACATCAATGATGAAAGAATCATTGGTGGGCTTCTCCCGCAGCCTCTGTCCCTCATCAGAGATGGAGCCCACAACCTGGGCATGTGCTCTTGACGGGAATCAAACCCTGGACTCTTCAGTCCGCAGGCCTATGCTCTATCCATTGAGCCAAACCTGCTAGGGCAGGCATGTCATTTATTTGCTTAAGCTGATAATAATGATTTGTTTCTGTTATATAATAATGGCTATCGTTTACTGGAAACTAGCTCTGTGCTAGCTTTACCTTCATAGAGACGGAGAGATGCAGGCTCAGAGAGCTCAACGAACTGGCCCAAGAGCACACAGCTAGTGAGGGGGCATTTCTAGGAAACCTGTGATTGGAACTCAGCTCCCAACACCCTGCTCTTGCACCAGCCCACAGGGTGCTTGATTATCTTGCTACATTTTTGGACATGTCAATATTTTTCTTTAAAAATTCTCCCATTGCCGAAACCGGTTTGGCTCAGTGGATAGAGCGTCGGCCTGCGGACTGAAAGGTCCCAGGTTCGATTCCGGTCAAGGGCATGTACCTGGGTTGCGGGCACATCCCCAGTAGGAGATGTGCAGGAGGCAGCTGATCGATGTTTCTCTCTCATCGATGTTTCTAACTTTCTATCTCTCTCCCTTCCTCTCTGTGAAAAATCAATAAAATATATTTAAAAAAAAAAATTCTCCCATGATCTGCCACAAGTGTAGGTTTGATGTTTTCTGGGTTGGGAACATGTAAAAAGCCTGAGACTATGCAGAATGAAAAGCTGAGTGTTTACTTTGTTGACTGATTGATTGAGGTATTACATATGTGTCCTTGTCACCCCAGAGTATTTACTTTGGAGCAGTGGTTCTCAACCTTTGGCGGTCAAACGACCCTTTCACAGGGGTCGCCTAAGACCATCCTGCATATCAGATATTTACATTACCATTCATAACAGTAGCAACATTACAGTTATGAAGTAGCAACGAAAATAATTTTATGGTTGGGTCACAACATGAGGAACTGTATTTAAAGGGCCAGAAGGTTGAGAACCACTGCTTTTGCGTGTCTTCGATCCTCTCTGCAAGAGAGACCAAGAGCCTTCAATGTGAGTCTAGACTAGAAACACACAGCCTGAGAACTACGGGGCCATCCACCTGTTACCGGACGGAGGAGGGTCTGCATTTCTGGGGAGGCTGATCCCCGGAGAACAAGCCTCCCGCCCCGCAGCCGCCAGCCTCCCCTTCCCAGGGGCCCGGCCGCGGGGAGAGGCGCGCAGGCGCGAAGTGGCGGCGCTGCTCCGCGCTGTGCTCCGCAGCCGGCGTTCCGGGGTCCCCGCGTGGTTCCCCTGCGCTTCCCCTCCCGCTCTCCCCGCACTTGGGGTCGCCGCTGCCCCTTCTCCGGGCCCCTCCATCCTTCGCCCTGGTCTGGCCTGACCCGCACGGCCCCTCCCCTCTGACCCCGCCCGGGCAAAGTCCGGAGGGTGTGAACCCCAGCGTGCCTGCCTCTGGGCGGGGACGGCGGCCGTGCGGGGAGCCCAGGCGGAGAGCCCGGGCGGAGAGCGCGCAGTCCAGCCCGCAGCTCCGGCCCGCGCGTCCCCCGGGAGCCGCCGCCGCTCGCCCCCGCGCCGCTCGCCCGCCGCCAGGCCCGCCCGCGCTCCCTCCCGGCCGCCGCCGCAGCCATGGCGGAAGTTCATAAACGTCAGCATGCCCGGGTTAAAGGAGAAGCCCCCGCGCCAGCCTCCGCGCACAGACATGCGGAGGAGGTGGGGATGGCGGCGGCCGAAACGCTGACCGTGTTCCTGAAGCTGCTGGCCGCCGGCTTTTACGGCGTGAGCTCCTTCCTCATCGTGGTGGTCAACAAGAGCGTGCTCACCAACTACAGGTAGGGCCAGGGCGCCCAGGCCCGGGCGCAGCGGGCGGCGGCGGGCGCCGGCTCCCTGGACTTGGGCTCCAAAGTTCAGGCTGAACAAAGTTGGCCGGGCGCTGGGGAGGGCGGGCGGCGGACACGCGGCCCGGGCGGCGGCCTGGGCTGGGGTCCCGCTCCGGGCTCACAGCTCCGGACGGCCGGGCGCGCGTTTGGGGAGCGCCCGCCTGCCGCGCCCGCGAGCTGCGCCCTGCAAACCCTGCCCCTCCGAGCGAGCGCCGGAGAGAAGTTGTTTCGTGACCTGTTGGTCCCTGTGCGTGCCAGGCTGGGAGCAGAGCGAGGGATGCTCTCCCTGCAGCGCAGCCCGGGCGGGAGGCTGGGGCGTCAGGGTTCCCCCAATTCGCTGACAGCCTCTGGGGACGCGCGCATCCTCCAGCCCATTTATAAGGAGCCCGGTGCTGTCACTGGACCCCGAGGCAGCAGCATTTCTGCTTTCGAGGTGTGAAACCGTTGCAGAGACCCCTGTCTTCATTTCCTTCAAAAAATCCGTTGCAAGCCGCCGACTGAAATTGTAGAATCGAACAAGATGAGGCAAGTGGCCGCCCCGAGGGTACGAAATCAGCGGTGTTGCCTGGTTTTTCTCACCGGTTTTCACTTGGATTAGAGGCGGACATGGGTGTGTTTGGGTATCCAAATGCATTTTAAGGTTGGCTACATGCAAACTGCATTCACAGAGCTACGTTTGGGTTTTTCTGACCCTGTTTTGTTTTTCTCTCTCTACCATTTTGTAGATTTCCCTCCTCACTATGTGTTGGACTTGGCCAGGTTAGTTGGACTCTTCAGCATTACGCGGTTTATGTCGTTAGAACTTCTCTGTGTGTCTTTATGTGTAGAACAGTGAGTCTGTGTTCTCTGTTTACAGATGGTGGCTACAGTGGCAGTTCTCTGGGTGGGAAAGGCGCTCAGAGTAGTCAAGTTTCCTGACTTTGACAGTAATGTACCTCGAAAGGTAAAAAAAGAAATAAATAATTATTTTCTGAAAAGAAGTCACTATATATATTATATATATTACATATATTAATATGTATATAAATCAGTTGCCTTGTGTATTTAAAAATTGTCACCCAATCCAGAGTGGGTATAATGAAAGTAAAGAATAAATGTTATAATATGTACTCTTTGTTTATTTATTTTTATTTTTTATCCTCATCCGAGGATATTTTTTCCATTGATTTTTAGAGAGTGGAAGGGAGAGGGAGAGACAGAGAGAAACACCAGTGTGAGAGACACGATTGGTTGCCTCCCACATGCCCCTGACCCACCGTAGGTGCCATTGACCAGAATTGAACCCGGGACCCTTTAGTCCGGAGGCTGAGACTCTGTCCACTGAGCCAAACCGGCTAGGGCCGTGGTCGGCAAACTGCGGCTCGCGAGCCACATGCGGCTCTTTGGCCCCTTGAGTGTGGCTCTTCCACAAAATACCGACTTCTGTGCATGGGCACAAAGTTTCAATTGCACTGTATGTGCGCGCCCGCACGTGGACCGACTTCTGCGCATGGGCACAAAGTTTCAATTGCACTGTATGTGCGCGCCCGCACGTGGTATTTTGTGGAAGAGCCACACTCAAGGGGCCAAAGAGCCGCATGTGGCTCGCGAGCCGCAGTTTGCCGACCACTGGCCGCTAGGGCGTAATAGGTATTTTTTAAGAAGTTCCATAATCTCTTTAAAATTAAGAAAAAAAGGCCCTAGAAATCATGTATTGTGTTTTACTTACTAGTAATGAACACTTCTTTTGGGAATACAACTGTTTTGCATTTTCTACATCTAATCTAGCCAGTGTATTCTTTATTCATTATTCTTCAGGTTTATTTTCTTTTTCTTCTGTCTGCATCTGCGTGGCTCCACATGAAGATGAAGTGCATTTCCTTTTTCCTGCTGACATTAGAGCTGTGGGCTAATACATGATCATATTTTAAAGTAAACGATGGATTTATCCCACATGTTTGATCGTACTCATATTTGTCACCCCCCCCCCCCCCAATGCCTTTCTCTCTCTTTCTGCCATAGTAGTGCTGTTTATTCAGGAATAATGTGTTTGAGCACTATGTGGGGGCAAAAATTGTGTATGAGGACTAATTTTGTGTTTTTAAAGGGAAAGAATTTAATCATGTAAACAAAACTGTTTCTGTTTGAAAGGCCCTGTGTTAGCTAGTTTTATTATTGAGTTTTGTTATCCCTTTTAAATTTTCTAGACGTTTCCACTACCTCTACTATATTTTGGGAACCAAATCACGGGACTGTTCAGCACAAAGAAACTGAAGTATGGATACTTTATTTTACTAGTGAGGTTATATAATGTGTTCTTAAAATTGTATTTGAATGTCAAATATTTAACACATTGTTATTGATGCTGAAATAAATGAAAGGACCAGAAAGCTTGTGCTTCTGCATAATAAAGATTACACTAAAGGTTTCAGTTTGAGCTCTTTAAGTTTAAAGAGAAAGAGGGTTTTTGTTTGTTTGGGGTTTTGATCCCTCAGTTTGATGATAGAAGTCTTAAAGTGTCATAACATGCTGTGATAGAAGATTTTCATTATTTTTCCAGATGTATAGTAGTGAAGGATATATGCTTTGCTTTTGGGATTTCAATTATTTAATGCAATTTATGGATATTATATTTTTGACAAATTCTACAAGCAAAATCAGAGGGTGGATACGAGAACTTCTGTAGTGTTGTTTCTTTTAACATGTTAAAATAACACCAGATGGAACCCTGATTTAAGCATGATTGATATTTTACTCATGGCTATATACCTGTAGAGGCAGCATACTCACTTTTAGAAAGAAGTGATAGCTCTCTACTCTTTGACAATACTGTCTTATTATCCGTTAACTTTCCCATTCTTGACTTCCATACTTAAGGAGCATAGTATGTATTGAGTGTATGTGATATTAAAATTACACACACAAGAAACCATTTAACAGAAATCCATGGCTTCACCACTTCCACGTGAGCTGAACCCTGGCGCACTTACTGGATGAGTGTAAACCAGAATGGGGAGATCTCTGAAGATCAGAGACAAAGTGTTTTTCATTTCTTCTTTAGACCCAAGAAATTTGACAGAAGGACCATGATGATATCGCTGGAGAGTGTTTTATGGAAGTCAAATTTATCATAGGCGGGCATCCTTTTCCATCTCACTACCCACGTGGAAAGAAATGCAGGCCTGCTGGAAAGGCTGCTGAATAGAGTTTGCTCTTTTTCATCCTTGCCGTCCATCCATTCAGTCACACCCTGTCTTTGATTGCCAGCTAAATATAAGGCACTGTGCAGTGAGATGAGATATATTCATAAATAACTGTATTACAAGAGGCTATATGTTTGATCAGTGCAAGCAAAATACTCTGGGAATTTAGAGGAAGACAAAATTACTTCCACAAAAGGACAGTTAAGGAATGTCTAATGGAGTAAAATTATGGTAGATGTTATTTGGAGGTTGGAGTGGGGAGGGAGGTCAGTAAAGAAAGGAGAAAAAAATAAATAAATTCTTAAACTTTATTTTACCTAATTATGTATTTTTTTTCAGCTTGCCAATGTTTACAGTTCTGAGAAGGTTCTCCATCCTGTTTACAATGTTTGCTGAAGGAGTGTTACTCAAGTGAGCTAAATTTCTAATACATCTAGTCTTTAACAAACTTTAGTCACTTTGAAAAGGTACCCAGCATAATAATTGTTTAATAAAAATATTAAAATTATTTGTCTTGCTTCTACTTTATCTTTTGGAAAGTTTAAGCAACTTAATCCCTTTGCTCTGGGAATTGATAGTTTATGGGAACAGAAGTTGGGAAGATTATGAATAGGAGTTAGAAACCTGTCTAAACATGGGATATACTTTGATGAATTCCTATACTTACTGCTGCCACTGGGTGTAGAGGAGTCAGAAACATCAGTATAGTTTTGTGCTTTATTTAAATCCCCACTCAAGGATATGTTTTTATTGATTTTTAGAGAGAGGAAGGGGAAGAGAGAGAAACATTGATCAGTTGTCCCCGTTATGCACCCAACCGGGGATCAAACCTACAACCTAGATATGTGGCCTGACCGGGAATTGAACCAACAACCTTTTGGAGTACGAGACTATGTTCCAACCAACAGCCACCTGGCCAGGGTAGAATAGATTTTAAATAGTGTTCCTTGTCTTGGCTCCTTTCACTACAAATGTGTGTGACCTTTTTCTACTTAAAGACATTCCAATTTGCTGAAATACAAGCTTAATAATAACAAATGATAAGAGTAAGGAAAAAATGAGTATATTTATTTATATAACAAAATAAGTTTTTGCTTTATCAAAGGGCTTCTTTTATTTTATTTATTTTGAAAAATATATTTTATTGATTTTTTTACAGAGAGGAAGGGAGAGGGATAAAGAGTTAGAAACATCGATGAGAGAGAAACATTGATCAGCTGCCTCCTGCACACTCCCTACTGGGGATGTGCCCGCAACCAAGGTACATGCTCTTGACCGGAATCGAACCTGGGACCCTTGAGTCTGCAGGCCGACGCTCTATCCACTGAGCTAAACCGGTTAGGGCTCAAAGGGGTTCTTTTAAATATCGAATTCCTTGGAAACATAAAAAATTTGACTGTAGCTTTTTTCAAATATACCTTTTGTGTGTGGGCGTGCCTGTGTTATGAATCTTTGTGAATAAAGCCACAGTATACATAAAATTTTTTTTTTTTTTGTAGGAAGACTTTTTCTTGGAGTATTAAGATGACTGTATTTGCAATGATTATTGGAGCCTTTGTAGCTGCCAGGTAAGATGTGGGCCTATATAAGCCTATGAGCTCATTAGAAATTATCAGTAGTTATTAATAATGATCAATTACCAATAAAGATAATTTTTTTATAGGCTAAATAAGAACCATATATTTGAAAAGCATCCAGAGACCCTTCAAAAGTTAAATCTTTTTGAGTTTGTTAAGATCAAGGCTGGTAAAATCAGATTCTTAAAAGCTAAATTCACGTAATTTAGGATTTATTATACAGTCTTCTACTGATGGAGCACATACCATGTGCCGCACAATATGTTTGACATTTTAGACATAATAGTTCTGTATTCCAACTCTGAAAGGTATGGATATAATTTTTCTATTTTATAGTTGAGGAAACTAAAACGTAAATTCAATAACTTGCTCAAAGTCCTACAGCTAGTAAGCAGCAGAAGGTGCTGGAATTTGAATCTGTGCCTGACTCTAGAGTCTATGTGCTTTTATAAACCATGTGGCATTTTTTTTACTTTGTGTGTTGCTGAAGAAAACAGTGTCTCAGAAAAGGCAAGTGATAATGAATTATTTGCCTTGTCGAATAATGAGTAATAGAATTGCTTTATTTGGCCTCACTTAGGATGTATCACAAATGGCATAATTTATTCTACTAAATTATTAAAGCTTTTTCCATTGCTCTTAAGTGTTAGTTTTCAGATGGATGGAGAAAATGTATATCCAAAGACTCAGAAAATTAAAATGATGGCTAGAAGCCTTCTACAACATTTTACTCAGCCCAGGGCATGCATGTATGGGTTTGCTAATGTCACAAATTCTGTCTGACATGCATTTTTCATTTGGGAGTTATAATGTACCTCTTGGATTGGCTTATTTACCTTCATCATATCCCTGTGATATAGATAGGGAGGGGGTAGGAATATAGGTCAAATTTTATTCCACCCTAAATCTCCAAGTGAAATTTCATTGTAAAAAAAGGGAGGGGTAGAGTAATTGGTTACTAGAATTTCATTATGTAGCTAACTGCTTTTCTCTCTAGATGTTATTGCCTCCTTGGAGAAAAATTCTGTATGAGCATCCTACCTTTCTTTTTGAAGCATTTCCTTGGATACAAAATTGAGCCAAACGATAGGGATTTCTCAGGGCTAACATCTGGCCTGCAAAGCTTCTGAGGAGGATTGCTATCTGGACCAGCCTTGTCTAATTAGGACATTTTACTTGGGAAAGAGATTGGGAGGAAGGGAGTCTGAAGTTAGGGGTTTGTCCAGGCTGCTTGAAAGAGGGGGTGAGCTTTAGGCTAGTTCTGTCTCAAATTGCAGTGGTGTAGAGCTCCTCGGAAGTCTTGTTCCATGTAGCAGTAGTAGTAGTTGACATATAAATATGTAGTATCTTTCTAAAATCATGGAATGTGGGACCACTGTGTAGCTAGGTCCTAAAATATGAAGGCATACTTTTCTTAGATTTTCATTTATTTGTTAAATTTAATAATTTTTTATCTCTACTAAATACTAGAAAACTTCCGTTTTCCTAATGCCACTAGTTATACCACGTAGGTGCATGAAGCAATTATTGCAGTATTTGAATTCCTACTGTGTGCTTTTGGACACTGTTGTAGCTTGATCTCAGAGCTAACCATGATCCACACTTCAGAAATTCCACCTCAGGGTCCAGCCACCTGTGCAAGATAGTCCTACCTTTTGCATGAACTTTTGGAAAAAGACATGTTAACAACTCACCCGTTTGGTCTCCTTACCTGTGAAATTCAGCTCTGATGCCTTCTGCCTGCTGCAGCTGTAACCATGAATTTGGTTGCTTGTTGTTGTTGTCTGACTTGGAATTCAGAACGGTGTGCTATTTAACTGACATGATTGTTTGTTGCTAATGATTTTAAGTGTTAGTGTTTCTCATTTCTGAAGACTCTACTTAATATAACATTGCAATTTGTAACTAGAAATCAAGAAATACTAGTAGTTGATAAAATGCCTAATGTTCATTTACCTAGATAAAAATACGTTGTTGCAAATACTCTATTCAAACCTACTTAAAATTAAGGGCGTGTTCCTTAAATGTAAGTTGTTAAAGTGCTTATGTTTTGCAGCTCTGACTTGGCATTTGATCTGGAAGGATATGTTTTTATTCTGATAAACGATGTCCTGACAGCAGCAAATGGCGCATACGTAAAACAGAAATTAGATTCAAAGGTAGGTAGCAATCTAAAGATTCTTTCAGAGGTGTTTACTGATCTTGGGGATGATAATGTCAATTCATCAGGGAAGAAGTGGGGAGTAAAGAAAAATATTTAGGAGGAGTGGGAAAGAAATAGGGGGTTTCTGAGGGTAGAGAAATGTGTCATAAATGATCATGGCTGTATTCTGGAGGACCTGAACAAGAAAGAAATATCTGAAAGCCCTTGAGCAGATTTGAGGAGAAGTGCGTGTTGGTAGGGGCTGCAGAAAAAGAATGGACTTTGCGCATTACAGATCATGGGAAACTTTCGGGAGAATTGGTATCTTTCTGTCTCTGGGGCAACACCGAGTTCCCTGGCTCAGATTTCATGCACATGAACTTTATTTACCCATCTCTTTTCTCTCAGTTTGCAACATGCACACAAAGGCTTTAAATATATTTCTTATTAGTTTGTCTATATAGACACACTAAATTTTATTTTTTAGATGAAGTCGGATCATCAGGAAGCTGAGTATTTGAGCCACATTAGTTTACTCCATTATGGTGTAAGGTTACATTATTATACGAAGACGCTGTGTGGAACTGAGCTTTACATATCATAGGGTTGCCATTGAAGGAGTTGTTTTTTTCTGTCATAATGTATCCTGTATGGGGACCCACATGAGATATTTATCATGGATGTCACCATGGCTCTTCCTGAGTAGCTGGTGTGTTTTATCTCATTGTAACTGACCATGGCCTTATCTGATTTTCCTACCCGAGTTTTCTCTTCAGTCAGATAGCCTTATCCGCTTAGTTTGTACCGTGCTTCTGAAATGACTTTCACGTCCTTTTTTGGAGTTCAGGTCATACATGCCAATGCCCTTCTCTGCAGTGGTACTAGGATTGAGTTCGTATCATCTTGGTGAGAGGCTTTACCTTCTCCAGAAAGAACCCTAAAACCCATGGCCATCCCACTTGTTCTCATTTTCAGAGAATGTTGGTTTTTAATATCCTTGAAGAACTGGGGACAGTGTAGATGTTTCCAAGAAATTTCTCTAAACATACCTTTTATGTCTTGTTCTCCATGTACTTGCCTTGACAACTTCGTATGATCATTGCATTTTACTGGAAGCGACTGTTAAAACTTTCGTCTTTCTGAAATAGTTAAAGAAAAGGGACCAGTTAGAGATTTAGTTTCATTCTGTTTTTGTTTTTTGTTTTTTTCCTTCAGCCCATTTGCTGCTTTGGAAAATAGGTATGAAAAATAACATTTCATTTGTCCAGCAGCCTCAGCTCTTTCAGACAGTACTGTCTAGTAAAGTTTTTCTGTGATAATGGAAATCTGTATTTCAGCTGTCCAATAATGGTAGGCACTAGCCACATGTGGCTGTTGAACTCTTGGTATGTGACTGGTAAAACTGAGAAACTGAATTAGTAGTTTAATGTAATTTTAATTAAATTGAAATAGCTGCATGTGGCTAGTGGCTACCAAATTGTACAGCACAGTCTAGAGTTGGGATGGGGAACCTTTTTTCTGCGAAGGCCATTTGGATATTGATAACATCATTTGTGGGCCATACAAAATTATCAACTTAAAAATTAGCCTGCTGTATTTGGTTAAATATTTAATGAACTCACCCCTAGTGCTTTGGCAGGGCCAGACCAAATGATTTCCTGGGCCTTATACAGCCTGTGGGCCAGACATTCCCCACCCCTGGTCTAGAGTATATCCTAGAACCTAGAAAAAAATAAAGAGGGTTTCTGAGTATTTTATTCCCAGGAGAGCCCTTTAGTTCCTTACTCAGAAATGACTTGTGACTTATGTTATGAGACCTTTTAAGCATATTGATCTGTTTTTCATAGTTAATGGATTAGAAGCAACAAACTACAAGATGGAATTCTATTTAGAGGCAGAGAGGCTTACCAGCAGTATGAAAGGTCAGCTAACAATAAGAAAGACAAGCAGGAAAACTATAAAAATCAGATGGAAGCCCTGGCTGGTTTGGGTCAGGGGATAGAGCGTCGGCCTGCGGCTGAAGGGTCCCAGGTACGATCCCGGCCAAGGGCACATACCTCGCTTGCAGTCTCAATCCCCAGGCCCTACTGGGGCACGTGCGGGGGGCAGCAAATGATGTGTCTCTCTCACATCGATGTTTCTCTCTATCTCTTCACTCCCCCTCCACTCTCTTTCAACATGAATGGAAAAATTATCCTCAGGTGAGGATTAACAATAGCAAAAAAATCAGACGGGTGTACTCAGAAATGATTTAGGGGCTATTAAACACCCTTAAGGGCAACATCATATAAGAACAAAATACAGCCCTGGCTGGTGTGGCTCAGTTGGTTGGAGCGTTGTCCCGTACACTGAAAGGTGGCGGGTTTGATTCCCAGTCAGGGCACACTTCCAGATTGCAGTCTCGATCCCTGTTAGGGACGCGTGCTGGAGGCAACCCATCGATGTTTCCTTCTCACCTTGGTATTTCTCTCTCCCCTTCCTCATTTCCCCTCTCTGAGGTCAATTAAAAACACAGTGCCCTGACGTTAGTAATGTTTATAATGCTCTAAATGAAATTTTAGCCTGTATGCTCCCTTTAAGAAGGCAGAGAAAAAGATATTCAAAACAGTTAAAATGTAAAAAGAAAAACAAAACAGTTTGGCATTTTAGTTTTGGGCAATTGTCAGTTGTCTGGATGAGTGTGTTTTGTGTGGTGTGTAGGCACCCTCTTTAAGGGATGGATAATACTTTAGTCTCTGGCTGACTGGGTGCCTGCTGTTTCAAGTTGTTTTGTCCTATGGCTTTTTTCTTGCTGCCTTAGAGATGAGGTGCTCTTTTCCCTGATGCTTGTGGTGGCCATAAGCAATCAGTTTTTTGGTTTATCCAAGAGGCAGTATGGCCACACTGAGAAGCTTTTAATAAAAAGGACTGCTTATAATCATGGTCCTTTGAGCATGAGTCGTGTGGCATAAAAATTTAGGGCTGCATTTCAGACATGTATGCAGCTATTGAATTTAAAATATTTTTAACTTTAAAGAAATCACAAAAAATACTATTTATAGAAATAGTCTTTTTTAAATGTTTTATTTATTGCTTTTAGAAAGAGAGGAGAAAAGAAGGGAGAGAGAAAGAGAAACATTAATCTTGTTGTTCTACTTATTTAAGAACATTCATTAGTTGATTCTTGTATGTGCCCCGACAGAGGATTGAACCCGCATCCTGGACATACAGGGATGATGCTCTAACCAACTGAGCTACCTGGCCAGGGCAACAGTACATATTTATAATAAAAGTAGTAGAAAACATAGATAAGCAAGAGGAAGAAAACATACTTATTCCTTAATTCTACCCTCTAGTGAGAAGCACTGTTTTAGTGGATATCCTTTAGAGCAGGGGTGGGCAAACTTTTTGACTCGAGGGCCACAATGGGTTCTTAAACTGGACTCAGAAGAAGGAGATGCGGCAGTGTTTCCCGACGTTGCCATGTTAACACTGCTGCTGGTGAAGGAGCAGAGAGGAGAGCAAGAGAACCCTCCGCTCTTTCGGCTCTGCAGGCCGGATAGAACAGCCGAATGGGCTGGATCCGGCCCACGGGCCGTAGTTTGCCCACGGCTGCTTTAGAGTGTGTGTGTGTGTGCATGTACACACCTAACTGTGTAAAATTTTTAAGGAGCGATGATATATAATGTTTTCTAACCTATATTTTTCATCTGGTACTGTTTCATGAACACCTTTCAGTATTAAACATTTTTAGTAGCTGTATAATGTTTCATTGTATGGTTGTATCATAGTTTAATCAACTAGTTTTCTGTTGTTGGATATTTGTCTCCAGTTTTTCAAAGCTTCTTTTGAGAAGGTGGTTTGACTTTTTACACAATTCAGGGATCTTTCAGCTACAGAAATTAGCCAAATATCATGTCCTTCTCCTCACTACTTCTTCACCCCCTGACCCCCAAGACTCTGGCCCACTTTTCCAGGTGACTCTGCTTCCCGATGAATGGCCCAGAAGTGTGTGAGTCAGAGGTAGACCCAGAGTTCTCGTAGGCTCCCTGTGTTTGAGGATGTGCGGGGTCCTTCATTGCTCCCCGGTATCTGAGGATACAACTAGACATGCTCTGTTTTGGGAATTGTAGGTAGAGTAAGCTAAATTTTTAATATACTTCATGTACACATTTTCAGAAGTACTTCCCTGGGAAGTTATACCTGCCTGTGTTGGTTAGGTGTGAGTCTGTGTGTCCGGCTCTGTCCAGCCATCTCTGAATGGCACTCTTGTTATGGTTCTGAAAAGCCCAAGGCCAGCTTGATGACTTTTGATTCAGTTCCGGAAGGGAAAGGGCTTCAGAGATGGACTTTTGTAGAGATGTGTGTATGTGTTCAATATAGCCTCTTCCTTATTGGCTGTTTTGAGGCAACTGTTGATGTCATTTTTATTTCTTTATTTTAGAACATAAGTTGTTTGGTTTTTCTTTTGTTTTTGAAAGCTTAGGCTACTTCTTGATGTTTGAAAATTTCTGACTTGGCCTAAGTTGTTGTGCATATTGTGGGGGAGGTGTGTGGGTATAGTGGGGGTGGGACTTTATGTAGGGTTTTGTATATCTTATCTGCTAGAACCAAATGAAACACCTAATTATTTACTATCCTAGGAGCTGGGAAAATATGGTCTGCTCTATTACAATGCACTGTTCATGATTCTGCCCACCCTGGCCATTGCGTATCTTACAGGAGATGCACAAAAGGTAGGATTTTCTAACACTGATTTAATGCCTTATGTTTTTTAATTGTATTGTTGTTTATGAACAAAAGATAAACTGTGGAGTTGTTAAGTAATGTACTTATTAAGGGACCAAAATCAGAATGTACTGTTTAGCTTGCTAATGTCATGCTAACCCTTTTTCTTGGCATAAGTGTTGGATAGTACTAAAATGGCTCAAAATAGCTCTGGCTGTCAACATAAAAATAGTGCATGCAACCCGTATTTTCTTCTTATGGGCCAGAAGGATGGAGGAAGGGAATTTTTACATTTCTACTAACCTACAAAATAATAGTAGCAAGCTATCCTTGAAAAACAGAAAACAAAAATCTTGAAATAGTAGAATTCTTCAGACTTGAAATTCTAGATCTCTCTAGAAGCTTCTGTTCTAGTGTAAAATTTGTCATCCTCTCTTAAATCCCAAGCTGTTTTTTCCTGCCCAGGAGATACTTAGCACTGTGTGGTGACTTAACCGTATAAATAGCAAATAATATAATAGTTTACTCATTTCCAGCAAATGCTTAGCTAAATAAATCCAGAATAGAGGAACAAAATAAATCCAGACAAGAATTTTTCTCTAAAACAAGCCCATATCCATAGGCAAAAAAGTTGATACCGTTTTGTTAGAATTCACAGAAATTTTGCAAACTACGTAAACGGACATCTAGAATTCTGCCAAGGGTTTCTGTACCAAGATTCCTTCTAATGATTCCTCTGGCAGGTAGTTTTTCAGAATAATTGTGTTGGTTATGTACTCCAGTAGCAGTGACAATTTCCACAAAGTAGTGGAAAGTAGTTAGACTATTAAAAAATGGCTCTTGAATTAAAGGTAGGAGAAGACGGACTGTTTTTAAAGTTGTTGTGTGTATGTTTTTTTTTTTTTCCCCATCAAGAACTTTCTTAAAAACAAAAACTGGCACAGATCATCTTGAACATGTGTAAAGGTTTAATGAACTGTGTAACTGGGCTGCTAGCAAGCCCACAAATGACACCAGAGTAGAAAACGGAGCTATTGCTTTAACTGATCAAGAGCGTTGAGTAAATATTTTGTGGCCGCAAAAAAAGTGGGAAGAGAAACTAACATTTATTGAGCCCCTGTTAGGTGCCAGTCACTTTATGTATGTGGTACGATGTAGCCCCTATATCAGCTCTTTTGCTCATGTGGAGATGAAGTTCAGAGAGACTAGTAACTAGCGCAGTGTCACACTGTCTGTGGGGAGTAGAGTCAGGATTTAAACCCAAGCTTGACTCAAAGGCCCTGGTCTTTCCACAGGGTGCTGCCTTTCTCTAGCAGACTCTGGCAGGAGCAGCCCCTGCTCTTTAGCTTTGGGGCAAGAATGTGATGCAAAATAACCAGGCCCTCCTTGGCAACACAGATGATTGCAAATCTTGAGGCCAATCTGTACTTGAGAAAGTTGGACGGAGTCATGTGGTTGGCTAGGCTATTCTACACACTTGGCAAAGGTGGAATTTTCATTAACTTGAAATTCTGACTAGTAGCTACTTGAAAAAATTGAACCAAAGGAGAAATATCTTCATTCCAGAATGATTATAATTTAACTAGAAGCTATATGCATAATTCATGCCTATTTTAGTAACACACATTTAATATGAAATGCTTCAATATAAGTAAGAATGTTTACTCATTGTGGAAAAATTACTTTGCCACCTGCATGAGAATGAGATTTAGATTTTCTCCTTACTTTCTTTTTTTTTTCTTTTTCTTTTTTTAAATTAAATCTTTATTGTTCAGATTATTACATTTGTTCCTCTTTTTTCCCCCCCCATAACTCCCCTCCTCCCAGTTCCCGCCCCACCCTCCGCCCTCACTCCCCACCCACTGTCCTCATCCATAGGTGCACGATTTTTGTCCAGTCTCTTCCCGCATCTCCCACACCCCTTTCCCCCCCAGGAATAGTCAGTCCATTCCCTTTCTATGTCCCTGATTCTATTATAATCACCAGTTCATTCTGTTCATCAGATTATTTATTCACTTGATTCTTAGATTCACTTGTTGATAGATGCATATTTGTTGTTCATAATTTGTATCTTTACCTTTTTCTTCCTCTTCCTCTTCTTAAAGGATACCTTTCAGCATTTCATATAATCCTGGTTTGGTGGTGATGAACTCCTTTAGCTTTTCCTTATCTGTGAAGCTCTTTATCTGACCTTCAATTCTGAATGATAGCTTTGCTGGATAAAGTAATCTTGGTTGTAGGTTCTTGGTATTCATCACTTTGAATATTTCTTGCCACTCCCTTCTGGCCTGCAAAGTTTCTGTTGAGAAATCAGCTGACAGTCGTATGGGTATTCCCTTGTAGGTAGCTGACTGTCTTTCTCTTGCTGCTTTTAAGATTCTCTCTTTATCTTTTGCTCTTGGCATTTTAATTATGATGTGTCTTGGTGTGGTCCTCTTTGGATTCCTTTTGTTTGGGGTTCTCCGCGCTTCTTGGACCTGTAAGTCCATTTCTTTCACCAGGTGGGGGAAGTTTTCTGTCATTATTTCTTCAAATAGGTTTTCAATATCTTGCTCTCTCTCATCTTCTGGCACCCCTATAATTCTGATGTTGGTACGCTTGAAGCTGTCCCAGAGGCTCCTTACACTATGCTCGCATTTTTGGATTCTTTTTTCATTCCGCCCCTCCGGTTGGGTGTTTTTTGCTTCCTCGCATTTCAAATCATTGACTTGATTCTTGCGCTCCTCTGGTCTGCTGTCGGGAGTCTGTATAATATTCGTTATTTCAGTCCGTGTATGCTTAATTTCTAGTTGGTTCCCCAATATAAGATCGAGGGTCTCATTAGTTTTCTTGTAGATCTCATTAAGTTTATCGGCGGCTTCTAAACAGTTCTTGAGAGACCTTAAAAGTGTGGTTCTGAACTCTATATCTTCCATTGACAATTTTGTCCTGTTTCTTTGTCTCCGCATTTTGTTATGCTTCCTTGGTGCACCCCCTAGTGGTCTTTGTTCGCAGTCTTATAGTTAAATCTTGATTGTTGTAGCTAATTCCAGGGAGGGTTTGACCTCCAGGCCAAGTGGCTATGAGAATCAGCTGTGTCAGCAGTGAGAGAACTTCTGTCCTCTAGGGAGGTGCTAATCTGGCATTTGCCTGAGGCTATCCGGCAAATGCCTCAGTGCAGGGCTTGGGCGGGGCGGGTCGCACAGGATCAACAGGGTGGGCTGGAGAGAGCAGTTATGGCGGCTCTCAGTCCTGTCCCCAGGGGCTCTGCCTGTCTGAGTCCCAGCACCCGCTGCAAAGCTCAGAGAGAAAGCTGCACTCGCTCTGACGGAAGCCAGACAGTCCCGCTTCTCCCGTTTGAGTCTGGGTCCCTAAAGACTCGCCCGTATCTGGAGCTCAGAGTCTGCGACTCCCTCCCGATTGAAAACGCCAACCGCGCCCTCCGCCGCCAGCCCGCTCCGTGCACTCCGCACCTCAGAATTTGACTTCAGCACTGTGCCTCCTCTGAGTGTCCGTATGCGTTTCTCTTTCCTCCTAGTTGTAGGACTTCCACTCAGCCGGCGTTCCGGTGGTTCTGGGTGATGTCCCTTCCGTTTTTTGGTTTCACTTTTGAAGTAGTTGTTCAAGGCAGCAAACTCCGGCGTTAACCTATGCCGCCATCTTGGTTCTCCCTCTTTTTTTTTTTTTCAAGCAGAGGAGTGAAATTTGAGTAATGTTTGTTTTTCCCCAATGAAAATGCCAGGCAAAGGTCAAGAAAGGTTTATTTTGGAAGAATAATGGTTCATCTAAATACTTTGAAATTGGGATGATAAACTAATTATGGGAGCTGAACTCATTGCTTTGTAATCAAACCCCACAGTATTTTGATCTCACATGTTTGTTCATTCTCACTCTTATTATTGGAGTACTAGGGGCCCAGTGCATGAATTCGTGCACCTTGAAAGGAATTGTGGGCTGCAGTGGGCACAGGGGAGGGTTTTGGTCATCAGTCAGTGCTATAAGTACAGGTTAGGAAGAAATGTATGTAGGCTGAATATCAGGATTAGCTTTTTAACCCTCTTCCATTTTATACCCCACAATGCACCCAAAACATTTCTTCCACAAAACCTATCATAGTTTATTGCTCTGATGGTGACAGGTCTGCTCCACAAGGTGACTGTATGGTCCTCAAAAGCAAGAATACCACAGAACTCATCTTTTTTTCTTATCGCCTGAGCCTAATACTGTGAAACACACAAGAGCATTTAACTAAAGGAGATAGGGCTTAGTTTTCTTATCTACCAAATGCAGCAAGTAATGCTCACCTGTTCTAGAGGTGGTTGTTGAGATATAACTTAGAGAGGTGGCTGAGTGGTTTACTTTTATTAACCAGTGCAGAAACAATGGGTGGAAGCCATAGACAGCCTAATGTGTCCAAGAGGTTCATAGTAGTCTACAGGAATTGCAGCTTATTTCTTCCACTGGAAAATTCAGTCTCAGAGTAGTCAGTGGGCTGTTTGAAGTCTGGCAACAAGTTCCCATGTCAGCGTGGGAGATGTGGCAGGATTTCAGGTAAGAGTTTTCCAGTACCAGTAAGTCGGGTTCATTTTCAGCGTGTGTCTTTTGGAACCGTGCTTTTTCTCCGAAATACGTACTGGTATACCTATAAGTGGACAGACATTCATATATGTGCATGTATTTTTTAAAGAATGGGTGCTTTTTCATGTGACAGTGTATCTTTAAATAAAGCTGTTCCCCAGTGAACAATCTGGGCCTCCTCCTGGCCTTTAGTAATACCTTATAGGGTATGATGCCTTGTCCCTGATAAGATGCTCCCGCATAAGTTATTTTCCCTGATCCTCATTGTATGCCTGTGAGGATTTGCAAAGGTTAAGGACATGCTTAAGGTTGCACAGTGTCAGAGCTTAGAGCCTGCCTGTCTGACTCCACATATTGGTAGATCCCTTGCTATTTGCTTGACTACTTCTTTGCTCCCTCCCTGACTAGGGCTTTCCTCCAGAACAAGCTACTGAACGTGAAAAACACTCCA